GAAAACAAAGCAGGGGGAGGACAGACCCAGCAAGTCATCGTAACCCACAGAGTTGGGAAGTGGCAGAACTGGGATCTGCTCAGGCGTGTCTGTTCCCAAAGCCAAATTTCTGTGTTTGATGTCTGCTTTGAGGATGACAGTGAAGGGAGAGGGGTAGCTTTCAACGTCTGGAAAAAATGAGGTTTGATTTTAAATCCCCCCTCACACTTTCAGGGAAACATCTCTTGCTGAATCTCTGCTCCTTGCCATGTCCACATTTCTCAAGCTCTGAGTGTTCCTTGATGACGGGACCGGTGGTGCTCTGGCATAAGGCACGGACAATAGCAGCAGGTGTGGACGCTGAGCGACCTTCCTCTGGATATGTTAGTGTGCCATCTCCACAGCCTGCAGACGGGGGACTGAGGTGCCGTGGAGACTCCGGAACTGGACCCCATCTGGCTCAGGAGTTGGGGCTGAGTAAGCGCAGTCTACACCACTGCTCACAAATACGCAGTGTGCAGAACCTCTGATGGAGCGTCACCGTGGGGCTGCAGGTGTCCGAAGGACTCACAGTGGCAAGCCCTGTGTCCAGGTGTCGAAGGCAGCCTCAGGCGATGAGCCCAGAGGTCAGGGCTGGATGCAGACACCAAAGGACACAACAGGTCACATCCGCAGCGGCAGAGCAGCCTTGTTCCCCTCCGGGTGGTGAGGGCCGTCCATGGAGGTCACAGCCCGAGCAGGGAGTCTGTGCCTCTGCTCGAGCCTCCACCTGCCCAACGCCTGTTATGGAGCCCACGGGTTCAGGCTGTGGCTCTGATCTCAGGGCCCAGCCCAGTGGCCACCTGCCAGGGTGCTTTCTGGGGGCACATGACCGCCCCTCCCCATACCTCAGTTTCTCCTTTTGGGAAATGTGGAGGATACGAGCCTCCCCCTCGGGCTTCCTGGGAATCCCAGGGCAGGATGCCAGGAAAATGCTCAGTGCTGCAGTCCATTGTGGCTCCTGTTGAATCCCGGAGACAATGAAGCCTTTCCTGACCCCTCCACCGTGCCGAGCTTCACTCTCCACTCACCCGCAGGGCACCCCGTACCTCCTCTGGAACGAATATTCCCTCACTCCATGCCAGAGTCTTCATCCAACATCCCTTGTCTGACTGCAAGCCCTTCCCCCTTCCCTCTGCCCCAGACCTGCGCAGGACAGGGACCGGAGACCTGGCAAGCTTGTCACTATCTCAGCCGTGAGTGCATAAGCATGAGCCGATCATCTGTTTGCCTTGACCTGAAGGAGACAGATATTTCAGCACCACGACCGGGGGCATCAGGTGCTGGACAGGGACTGTCCTGGCCGTCCGGTGCAGGAGGGACACAGATGGAGGTCCGAGGCAAGCCGCCGTGCTGGCTGGTGCTCTCCAAATGGCTTGTGGGGATTTATAGGTTTGTGACCACGTGCCAGGGACCTCAGGGTCCCTCCGTTTGGCCTGCTGTGGCGCGGGGAAGCTGTGCAAACAGGTTTCACAGACCCGTCTCTGGGCAAGTCCCAGATCCACAGAAATGTACCCCGAGACGGGATTGAACAGAGACTCAGGCTAATATTGAACCTGGCTGGGACCTGGGTGTGAGCATCACCTATACTACAAAGTGGCTTGTTCAGCTCACAAAATGAGGGTGGGCCTGGCACCCCAAGAAACACCCCTTGTGCCCCAACACATCTTTCCTTTACCCATTTATGCTTTATCACATCCTGGAAGAGTCCTTCTGTTCTGTCTTGCAGAGGACGATAATCCCACCTGTCTCTGGGTGGGCGGAGGAAGACAGTGCAGGGGCCCTGTATGGCCCTATTCTGGGGTGCTGCTGCGCACACACTTCCCACAGGCCTTCCTTCTACAGAGCCCTTGACACAGCGCCCACTTTCTGCTCAGCCCTCTCTATTCTTCCTCCGAAAGATGCTGACCTCGGATCTGAACATTCCCGAGTCTGGCTTCAGCCGCCTGATGCGGACGTGGTTCTCCCTTGGGCTCGGAGGCAGCGATGAACTGGAGAATCCCATCATCAACAGATCTTCCATCCCATTTCACAAACCTCTGAGATGGTAAAATGAAAGTTCGTTCTTGTTGAAGGAACTGAAATTTCACCAACCTTGGCAGGGTTGAATTTTTATAAAGTAACAGAGATGTAAAAATTAGTCTAATACACATATACAGAAACATCAGGTTTCCGTTTTGGTTTCTGAGATAACTAACCCTGATGGACAGAAAAAAGTAGAGAAGAGCACATTTTTGTTTGTTTTCTAGTCTTGGGTATTTCCGTCATCAGTTCTGGGTAATCTGTCTTATCTGCTCCCATCATCTATCTATTGACCTGTTCCATGAGGATCCAGGAGTAGGTCCTGGAGTTGAGCTGTCTGGGCATGCATTCTGCCTCTAGAACTCCAATTTCCCGTCTCCAACAGGATACCTACCAGCAGGGTACCATGTGGATTTGCTGAAATAATTCAGGCCAGGGGTCAGGAATGAGTGGACACAGGAGAAAAAGGGTTTTAGAGTGAGATTACCAGGTCCAAATTCCAGTCCTGCCTGTCTCCCGCCAACCTGATTCTCCAGGTAAGCCCAAAACACCTGAGCTGCACTCCCTGGATCTGGAAAGGGGGATGCAGGTGCCCCGTCCCAGGTCATGCTGAGGCCTGCTCAGAGGTATGGACACGCTCCTCGTATGGTGCCTAGCTCACAGTGTGTGCCCCTCCCTAACTCCCAAAACTCAGTTTCCAACTCTCTCCCCAGGGATCTTGGGAGTCAACTCTCCTTCTGGTGTTTTGGAGGGTACCTCTGAATACACTATACAAAGAGGCCAGTTTAAAAAATACTCTGTCTGGGGAAGGTACATTTAGCAGATCACTCAAGGCCTCAGGTGATAACCAACCTTGGAATGTTCAGGGTATGAATTTTCATAAAGGATCATCTTATAGAGAGAGAATATATGATGACATCACACAGCAAAAGACTGGAGGTCAGAAAGGCATTTTGAGAATTTATATAATTACACGAATTCAGGAAAACGTGACTAAAATGAAATGAGATGGTGTGCTTATAGAATTACCAAACAAAGTAAAGGAAGAATAGTCATGTCACTTAATTGAAGATTCACAGATGTAACTCAACGCTGAATGGAAATGAGAGAAAATGGGAGGGAGGATTGGCTTGGTGGTCATTATTTACTCCAGTACCCCTGGGACTGCTTGCAGCGGCTGCTGGCAGTTGACCAAGGGCCTGGAGATGCAGCCTCATCTGGTGTTTGGACTCCTGGGAGCTGCACACATCACTGTCCGTCCCCAGCCAGGACAGCCGGGCAGGGCAGACACCACAGATTACCTGGTCGGTCAAGGTGAGAAGCTCCCACTTCTGCACATCACCACACCTGTCGGGGGCTAGAGCCCACCAGTGTCTCCAGGAAGGGCTGTCAGCAAGTCCCAGGGGGAACTGTCTGTCCACCTCCTCACTGTCCCCCAACTTTATATATGACCACATGGAAAACCAGACGTGCCTTTTTTTTTTGAAGGCCAGGAGTCAATAAACAAATTTGTCATGACAAATGCATACACACACAAAAGAAAAACAAATCCGAAAAGGACACAGGGAAAAGAAATGATATGCAGCCTAAGTTGAAAAACTAACACTAAAAAAATAGTGAAAGAGTATATTTAACACCCTTAAAAATAAGACAAAAAAATCATACTGCGTGTGACTGCTCATAAAATTCTATTATTTTTCCCTCTCATTTTGTCTTTCTTGAATGAATGCTTTGAAAGAAGATACCAAGGGGGGGGGGTCAAGCCCCACTGGTACCTTAACAGATGACAATTTCCCCTTGAGGAATGAAAAAAAAATTATGATTAAAAAAATAGGTCTTTAACAAGCCATCGTGAAAATGTAGTTTTGTTTTCCAGATTCATTTTTTTTTTTTTTTTCTGGCTGAGAGCAGGGCTTTCAGCAGCAAGACAGGAGTAATTGTGGAAGGAAGAAAAAGAGGATGGTGATATAAATCAGCAAAGGTTAATGATCGGGATGTGAAGAGAGGGACTTGTTTACAGAAATAGCGTGCAATTTAAAATTTACAAGAGATTTAATGCCACTGCTTGGCAATCGCTAAAATCAACAGCCCAGAAAACAGTGACATTAAGAAAAATATTACAGTTATAATCATCCCCAAATAAGTCAATTAGTGTTAGGGCACGAGCTTGCGATTACTTGACCCATTTGGCTTGCACTTAAGTGAAAAAAAATGTCCCCCTATTATACCAAGATCGCTGGATTGTGACCTATTTTGCATCGTACACATCGTACACCACCCTCCCGCACAAGCGCTTGGGCGGATGGTGGTTTTCCTTTGCCTGGCATCAAAATAATTCTGACCCTTGACATTTGTAATCATAAAAAAAAAAAAAGGCAATTTATAATTGTGTTGTTCAAATGAAGGTGGGAAAAATTCAATCTGCTATTATACAAAAGCAGTGGCGGCTGTCTCCAGTGGAGAAAGCAACGCAAGTCAATTTGTGAACTTTGGCACCAGACGACCTTTAGAAACACAACAATATACTGAATTTACAAGCAATAGCAGCCCATGCAAATGACCCGGGCCGGGCCGCCTCTGGATTAGAGCCTCACAGAGCATTATGGAGTATGCGTCCACAAAACAAATTAAGACTGTGACTTAAATGTCACGGCACACTATTGTATTTGGCTACAGATCATTACACCTGATACTCACACTTTTAAAAACTGTAATAACTTGGGAAATATTACATTGAGTGCCCGCATGTATAAAGGGAAAGAAAAAAGAGGAGAAAATAGGTTTCTGAAGTAATTTAAACATCACTACTCTAGGACTGAAGCGAAAGGTCAAAATTTAAGTAAGCTGAAAGGAACACGAATGGCAAAACCAGGCACACGGACGGGAGATGGAGAGACGGCGGGGATGAGTCCGCGAACACAACGAGGGGGCATGCGGCTCCGGGCGGCGCGTGGCGTTACCTTCAGTGTTGGTGCTGCTGCTGCTGTAAATATTTCGCAGGCTACCAACACGGTTTAGTTTCCAAGCCTTGCGTTTGGCTGCATCCCGAGAGCAAGGGGAGGGAGGGGGGGAAAGAGAGGAAACAAAAAGGAAAAGAAAACAAATGAAAAGGGGAGAAAAGAAATGTCAAAGCAGCTTGTGACGTCAGCCCTGAGGTGGTGCATCCTGGGAGGCAGGTGGGTGTTGGGCCTCACACCCCCCATTCACCCCTGCTGTCCCCGCCTCCCCTGCAGAGCTCAGGAGCAGGCAGGGGTGGGCTAGCCAGTGTCATTAGATTTGTACAAAATCAAACAACCAGGCAAGGAAGTCCGTGCATCCTTTTCACCCTGCTGGGCTGGACACGTGGCTCCTCCAAATGGTGCCATGCTGGCCTTCTCCTTGGCGACGGATGGCGTCTCTTGAAGGAGCTATGATGCCAGCAGCCATTAGCCCTATCATCTGGCAAAACACTGGGAGCATGTCTAACCAAGAGCCCCTGGTGGTTAGCAGTTTGCATGTGTGCTGCAGAAGGGAGGTCTACAGCACCCAGAGCTACCCACAGAGAAGCTGTCTCTCCCCACACCTATTTTGATCTGGACAGTAGCCTGCACCAGCAAAACCGCTAGCATCTTGCTGTCATCAAAGGGTGAAGTCCCTTCTTCTTATGGGGGCTGCTGGAGGCTCTGAATGGAGCTCCAAGGAACCCAAAAAAACATGCGCCTCAAGCTCTCAGCTCGCCCAGGAAAGCATCCCAGGGAAAAAAAAAAGACAAATAGTGAGTTACCCACAGAAAAATCCTGGGTTTGGGAGGGAAATGCAGAACAAATTTAACAGTGTGTGCGGTGTCCTGGGAGGTAGGTGGGAGGGGTCCCCAACCTTCTCAGACACTCTTTTCCAGGGACACATTCTCAACTCACCAACCCCCCAGCCCACCAACCATGTACTCGGGCCAGCAGACACCTGTGGTAGAGAGGCTGGTTCCTGCCAGCCCTTCAGAGGAGACAGTTCACAAACTTCGGGAAGTTTCCAAAGTAGGGCACACTGGACCGGCCCTCTCTCTCCACCCCCACAGTCAGGAAAAGAAAGTGGTCCAACCTGCTGGTAGGGCCTCTTCTGGAAAACCGTTCACTGCGGGTAGGGAAGAAGCGCTCATTCATCTGGGAAGGCAGGTGTTTGCATTGCAGGGTGTCTGCACACCCACAGGGTGTCTGCAGCACACCGTGGAAAACTGGGCCAACCCCGAGACCAGGGCAGGCTGGCCGGGAGTCCCTCACACCGCACTGCATTCCTGACTTAGGACAGGTGGGCTCTTCTGGCCCGCTGTCAGGTCCAAGGCTCAATCTCAAAGGGTGCATGCAGTTCTGGTGGCCAGCACGTGACCCATAGTGATGACCAGGTCCTCACAAGTAGCTGCACCGCGGACCTGAATCTCCAGCACTTCTGTGCGTATTGGACTTATTTGGAGAGCGCAAGGTAAGCTACGTGTAAGAAATAGGGATGTTTCAGGAAGCAAGCACAACTCTGAAACACATACTGTATATTCAGGACGCAAATTCTGTGTTCCTGATGAAAACAAAAACCGAGCTGTAACTTAGCTGTCACCCGATCTAAAACGAGAAAAGAGTAAGCCATAACTAAACCTCAGAATGACTTTGCAGCTTGAAAACCGACAATTAACAAGAACTGTAATCTCCAAAGTCGTGGTGACCCGGACTACCTCCTGCAATAGATGGTCTGGATGTAATCTTATGTGCCTGGAGTAGCTCCCCTTGTCTCCGCACCCCCAAGGCTATCAACTACCTACAAGGGGTCTGTCCCAGGGGTGAGCACACCTGGCAAAGAGAGCTAGCCGCTGCAACCTGGCAGCACAAATGCCCCGACTTCTGGACCAAGCCAGTCAGTTTTCCGATGTTTACTTTAGAAATGTTCAATGCATGTTTATCCGCTTCCTCAGGTAGAGCGGGTGCTTTCGTAGAATTAATTGTGTGTTTACTCATTTCAACAGACGAAGCTGTGGTGTCTTGGCCCATGTTTCACAAGTTCCAGAAAGTAGTAATTGCAAAAGAGGCTACACTCCTCAGTGTAAAACCTACCTCTTCCTCAAACATTTACATATAAATAGGCCTAGTCTGGGCTGGGCACCGCTCTGGAAGGGAGGGATGCTCAGCACAGACCTCTTCCCTCGCCTGCTTTATACCCTGCATTTTTCACGCTCCCATTGTCCATTATCATACGGATGTAGAAGCAGGAAGTGAGTTCGCAGTCTGGTTTTCTATTAACCTATTGATGAAATAATCAATTTTAATGTGTAAAATGTCATGCCTTTTTCTTCCCCTTAAACAAATGGACTTTTTCTGGAGGATACCAAGGTCCTGATCCGTGCATTTGTCTCCTGGGGCATTGATTGCTCTGGGTCCACTTGTTTCAAAGCTTCTCAAAGAGAAAATACAATCATATTATCATTGATAAAAATCTCCAGGTGTGCACACGGCTGCTGCCTGGGCTCCCTTCTTAAGGAAATGGAGACACTGCCCTGAGCAGACGCAGGAGCACGGCAGCGCACTTGCTGCTGGCCGGGCGCCCTGTACCATGCCACCCCATGCCGTGCCACTGCACACCATGCCACCCCACACCATGCTACAATCACGCCCTCTGGGGATACTTGAGGGCTTCCTGTGGACTAGTTCAAATCTCTGAATGTTCTGGGTTATCTTTATTTTAATGAGCAAATTTATTCTTTTTTTAAAAAATTTTCAGGGGTACAGTTTCTTCCACTTAAACACAGGTTAACTTACTTTGATTTTGTCACTCCTGTTCCTTCTCACAAAACTGTTTTAGTGTCAGAATCTCACATTACTGGACAGAAGGGTGGCGGGGTGTGAGCTGCTGTGGGTATTTCCATTCTGCTGCTGGGTTCACTGGATATGCAAGTCTCTTCTCTAAAGGATTTTCAGTGCCTCTTGTGGCTGTTTAAACGACACGATGTCCCCGCACAGTCTTAAATGTCGAGAACACAAATGCAAACCTCAAAGGACACACAACCCTCCAACATGTAATTTCAGAAGTAATGCAAACTAACGGTCAGCCTGAATGTAGATAGTAAGATTGACCTCTTCTCAGTTTAGCCTGCAAATTAAATGGGACGTTCTGAACCCCAGCTTGGGTCAGCAGGGCCTGGGGAAAGGACGCCAATGTCTCCCCACAATGGCATCAAAACGTGAACTATGAGCTCACGGCGAATACCAGATTGTTACATGAATGCCACATCAAGAGGCGGTACGTGGGACACATGGCTGATGGGTTAAGAATTATGACAGAGAAGGTCGTAGAACTCATCATTATACGGGTTGGAATGTGTTTCCTAATGTTGAAAAGATTAAAAAAAAATTTTTTTTAAATTTTATTTTTTATAAACATATAATATATTTTTATCCCCAGGGGTACAGGTCTGTGAATCGCCAGGTTTACACACTTCACGAAAAGATCAAAATTTTTAAAAAGACATGGTAAGAGAGTAGGGACTCATTCTCTGAACTCTAAGACAGAAAGCTTCCTGACTTTTAGAAACAGTGGCATTGTCATCGTCCCCCTACGATGAATGAAGAGCCCCCTGGCACAGGAGCATGGAAGAAGCACTGATTCACATTAGCAGAGTGAGTTTATAAGGTAATCTTCAAATTACAAAGAAAGACAAAGAGAGGTGACTGCAGGATCTATGATACCCAAGTCCTAAGGCTGACAACTGTATGAGCGTATGCACCCTGGACGTTGAGGAACATGGCCCTTCCGGAAAGCTGCCCCACAGAGATCTACATTCGGAGTGACTGGTCTTCTTCAGTAGCATGTGCCACATTGCCAGGTGGGGTGGCTGTGACCCAGCTCATCTGGGTCTCAAATGCTCCTTATCCTGAGTCCTACATCTAAAGAAGGGAGGCAGGCATTAACTTCAGTTCACAGAATATTTCTTTAAGGTAAGGTCTGAGAGTTATAAATGATGAATTCTGCATCCAGAAGTCCAAAATGAGATATGACACAATACAGTCAACTCATAATTACTAACAGACAGTCACAATCTTTTCAAAGGAGAGCGAGCGAGGGCGAAAATGTGCAAATTAGGGCTTTCTACTAAGTTAGAGTAGCTGGAATCATTTAGAGTTAACAACTCCCAGTTATGACACATCTCCCGATTTTTCCAAGCTATACCTTTTCATAGGAGTTCACACGATGATCATGAGGGACTTACAAATTTTTTAAAGAAAAAATTATTTTGTTTCTGTAAGCAAAGAAAAAAAAAAATTCCTGTTTTTTTGTTTTTTTTTTTTTTAACTACAGCATGTGAACAAAAAGCTGAGAACTGATCACACGCAGAGTTCCAGCAGGAGAATTTTGGACTGGCTCTTCATACAGGGAATAAAAATACTCCTTAGTTTGTTGGCATGCTCAAACGAGCAGGGTTTTTTCCTAAAGTCTTCCTCCATCATTGTACCAGAAGACCACAGACTTATATTAATGTCACCTACGGTCTCCTTCTGACAGCGCTCTTTGCTGATTAGATAAATATTCCTCAGATAGCTGATTAAAAAATGATGCAGCCGTGAGCTTGTATGTCCAAGCCCTGTCAGCCATGTTGGATGTCCAAGTGCACATGAATTACATCCCTGGCGTGAACCGAACAGGGCCGGCTAAATGAGGCACGCTGTAGCCCTCAGAATCAATTATGAGAACGAATAGGATCTTTTTACCTACACGGAGGAAGGGGCTGGGACGGAGAAGGTGTGTCACTCATTTCTAAGAATGTCTTGTCTCCAAACGAAACAAATAACCCCTGCATTCATACGAGGGACTGTAAGCTTGTAGCTCTTACAGAAGCCAAATGATAACCTTGTCAGACAGCACCGCTCCCAGTCCACACCAGACGTGTATTTATTTATTTTTAAAGAGGCCATCGGTATAAATGCCACTTGTGCAGAGGGGAGTGCCTCTGCTCCTCAGAGCCTTCTGGGACCGGGACGCTGGATAAAGAGCATCCCCCAGGAGCCCCCGCAGGCAGCCGTGGGTC